GCGATCGTACAATGGGATTCAAAGTTCCATCAATTTTGGTAGTCTGAGTAGTGCACTTAGAATTTGCTGCAGAGGTTAAAGAATGTTAAAGAGAAAATGGATGCAATAAGTGATATCTTGGAAGCATTAGTAGAATGGTTTCTGTTTCGTATGATGTAAGTACTTGTTTGCCCTTGCATAGTAGGCTTGGACTAATGCTTTTATTTGCAAGCCAAGCGCTTTCGTGTTTGAAAGCACATTCCTCACTGGACTTCTAGAAAGGTGTCATTTATCATCAAAGAAGATACCTGCTCTGTGCGAGAGGGCCAACAAAGCAAGCCAAAATCCGAATTCAGCTGAGGTGTTTCCAACTGGCACCAGTTTGAACTCAGCTTCAGACGCACAGGCCGAACGGGCAAGGCATCTTGCAGACCGAAAAGAGTGGATTTGGAGAAAGTGGTTTCTTTGTCACAAGAGGAATTCCAATGGTGTGTCACCAAGAGTAATGCGTGAAAATGTGACAACAATCCAGCCCTATGAGAATTGGTTGATGGTACCTTCTTCAAGTACATAAAAAGTTTTTGAGAGGCCCAGACCTTTGTTGAGCCATCGATCTATTCCCTTCATTAGAAAGCTCCGCTGGCGAGAGTTTGGTGACATGAACTGCGGGTCCTTTTGTTTCACCTGTTTTGCACCATTCAAGTACAGGTTCACAGAGAATCCATGATGACTTTGCATGTCCTATAGTAGCATTTTGAATCTATGCATGGCCGATGCACTTTGGAGTAGCACTACTGTATCAGTTTCGGGCCTTGATTCCGAGATGACTGCAGCCATCCTTTCAGCTGGCTAAGTTTGCCAAGAAGTAATGTATCATCCATATATGTCTATATTTATATAAAACATCAAGATATACCTGGTGCACAAATGACTTGTGTAAGCCGAGTTTGGCAAATGCAAATGGGGGCCAAGCCCCAACGAGTCGAGCACGATTTCCTCGCTCTACTGTTCCGAAATACCTGGGGGACCTTTTTTTGATTCTTCCTGTAGCTTCAGGGTACCATCCTCAAATGCTTCACGCATAGATTTGCAGGCACCTCCAGGAAAAACGGCTCAGGGCCACATAGTTTCCGTGTCTATTACATCAGCTCCCCCTACAAAGGTGACAAGATAAAATGATTTAGAAAAAGTCCAACATCAATACCATTGAATATCATAATATTCATACCAATAACATTAAGAGGTATTGAATATTCATACCTTTAGAGGTATTTAAGTCCATCATCCAATAATATTCAATAGCTCTTAAAGGTGGCAGCTCCGTTGCAGCGGCAACGCACTGATGGCCGACATCTCGCCGGCGTGGCTTACCCAGCGCCTTCCAGAGAAGGAGATCCTTGATGTGACGGTCCAAGACATGAGCGGGGCTGGTGGCCTCAACTGCCTCATGGTGCGATTCTGGGCACAAAAAAAAGAGGCCATTGGGAGCCACTAGTCACCCAAAGTCACCCAAAGTCACCTAAAGTCACCTAAAGTCACCTAAAGTCACCCAATCTAAGAATATATCCGAATGTGTTTGGTAAAAACGAAACTAGCGAGAGTTCCAATGACATACCATGACATGTGCCAGGATAGAAGTGTGCAGGAGGAAAAACGTCAAGGGCGACAGAACCTTTCTCTTGGAAGCTCGACCCCTTCAAGAAGATCTCCAGCACGGAGAAACACTAGAAAACATATTAAGCAAGCCTGGGCAAAAGCTGTTGTGGACAAGTTGTGCCATTATGAGGTGCATCCAATGTCCACAAAATCATTCATTGCCATTGCGTACAAATAATGACCAATCTATACAAGATCACTGGACTAAGGATTGACCATCAAATTTGCTGATAACACAAGCGAGACAGTGGTGCTGAAGCGGATTCGTGAGAGCGGTTTGGAGAAAAGCCGTGAGCTGGGACTTGCCAGGGAGGCCAGGCTGAGATTCCTGCTTGCGTGTGGGCGTAGAAGGTGCTGAAGCTAGTAGTGCTATACATCATGTATCCAGAAAGGCACGTTGTGAGCGGCGGATGTCCACCTTTTTTGGTTAGACCTCAAGGAAACCATGTGCAGAAATCCATGCTCGCAGCAGCCTGTTCTGCATAGTAGGTACATCGATGAAAAAGATGATGATGAAATGGGTTACAATATGTCACAGTGGTTATATAGATAGATGAGAAAAGATGAGACGATATGGGATGTGATGGCATGCCATGGGATGGGATGGGAAAGATGGATGGGTGCATGGATCTAAAAATGGGTGGAACAATAGATACATGGATCAATAGATGGATGGATCAATAGAGGATGGATCAATGGATGGATGGATCAATGGATGGATGGATGGATGGATCGATGGATGGATGGACAGACGGACGGACGGACGGATGGATAGATAGATAGATAGATAATATTAGATTATTAGATAATGATAGATAAGATAGAAACAGAGGCGTAGATATTGGAGAATTGGAGACGGCATCATATGTCATTCGTTCGCAAGACTGCCTTGTGACAATTTTGTAAGAAGCTGAATCCAAGAGCGCTTCGGACATGATCAGCTCCTGCACTCGGCGGAGGCGCTGTTCTACAGTCAATTCAAATCTCACCCTACAGTGAAGCACATCCTTCCGACGGTGAGCTGCATTAGTTTAATCTGCGGGGTATGACAAAGCAACGCAGGGTGTTGCTGAATAGGGAGGTGGGCAGTGCAAATTCCAGATCAAACCTTTCATTGTTGTTCGTGTGGGTTTTAGCATCGAGAGGAGTGCTTCAGCAATCTTCAACATATATAGTTGATTCTTGCTTTAGCATAGTTGATTCTCACCCAATGCGCATTCACACAATATTCACAAGCCATTTGAAAGTGTCGACCCCAGATGTCGCTTTTTCTCAACCCTGCAGTGGAATTGCAGAACTGTTGGAGTTTCATGAGTTGCTTTACCCAGTTGATGCTGCAGCTATCCAAATGGCACTCATCAGAGGATGGGTCCTGGGAGCGTTCTACACACCGTTGGCCTGGTGTGGGGCAAGTGGGGATTGAAGAGGGGCCTAGATAAGACGTCCCTTACACGTGACCCTTGCGGCCATCGCGCCCACATACAGCAAAACAAGATGCGCTAATGTGCTTGCTGGGGGTTGCGTAACACAAACCGCTGCGCGCGGGGCATCCATTACTTCCAACGAGGAGGCCACACAAGAGACGTGAGAGCTGTGATGCAGCTTCTGCTGTCTCTGTTTGCTTGGTCAGGTTATGTCAGGTTATGTCAGGTTATGTCAGGTTGTTTTGTTGATTGCAAAAGCTTGGAGTTGAATCCTTTGAAGCATGTTTGCACATTTGATCTCTGTGGTCTTGTGAGTCTCTGCTGGAAAAGGTTCCGTACATGTCTGTGCCATGGGGGCAAGGGAAGTGGAAACAGTCTTGGGTATCCAGAGAACTCCAACCCCTTGGACTATATCAGGCGGACTATATCAGGCGGACTATATCAAGCTTATATGGGAGGTTCCGCAAGGGCTACCTTCCTAGGGCGACCTTCCTCGGGCTACCTAGTCATACCATGTAATGTAGTGCAAAGGAATGGAATGGAATGGAATTTAGTAAGTCAGAATATGTATGTACTCGTAATATGTAATATGTATGTATAGTCAGAATAAGCGTAGAGTACTTTAGTAAGGAGGGGCGCAGTTGTGCTGAGAAAGTGCACGAAACCATGTAAAGCGATGGGGCCCTCCAAAAAGCGAGAACTTGTATCTATATACGAGAATGCATTAAACTTGGTGTAAACCAAGCAAACATTGCTGTGTACCTTTACGCAATGCGCAAAAATTGATGAGAAAATTCAACCTGTAGTAGTGCCCGTGTTTGTGTTTCTTGCAGTTGCCATATCATTTGTTGTCCAAGGTGATTGAACCGTTGCTTTCTGCAGCCAGTTTGCTTTTTATCCCCAGGTCCCAAAGCAGTAGAATTAAACTAATGCAAACGACTTCTGAATTAAATCATGTTAAATCAATATTTCATATTTCTCTTATCCAATTCTAAGTTCTGTTTAATCTAATTTGTCCTCTCTCCTTCCTTCGTCTTCTTTTCTTGTTCCTTCCTTCCTTTTCCGTTGGCTTTTTCGATTTTCCCACGCTCTTCTTTCTTTTCCTTTCTTGCTCATCAAGGTGTTCTAAAAATAAAGCGACAACCAAGCGATTACCTTTTGTTGGAAAAAGAACCCGGACGAGGGATAGACTCATTTGATCATTTGATCCCATTGGCATTCTTGTCCAAAATACCAGACAAGCAACAAGAAAAGGAAATGAAAGATTCTCGCCAAAAAAAAACACAAGAACAAAGGCTAGCTGATTTTGGAACTCTTTGATGTATCTGGTTTTGGAAATTTTGATGAGAAGCAATTTCGCTGCATTTTTGTATTATTTAGTGCTGATCCGAAGAAAACAATGTAAAGCGATAGGGCCCCCAAAGAAAGCGATAACCTATATGTTTGCACCAGGCGTAAACAATTGATTTTGACGGCGGCTCATATTTAACCATATATATATAATGAATTAATTAGTTACTCAATTAATTAGGTGTATACATATATATATATTATATTCACATGCGTCTTCATGTTCTGTTTCATACTTATTCAAGTATTAATTCTTATTGAATAACATTACATAGGCGTATATAATTGCGAATGTTTGCGCGTCTTTCTTGCGGGACTTGAGGTGGATCCAAGATATTCCATGAGCCATCGGCCATCGGCTAAGGTGCTTCATGCCTGGGGAGATTTGATTTCCGGCCACAAAGAGATCATCATGGAGGACCTGACCAAAGGCCATTTCTGACCGGGTGCTCGCATCAAAATGTTTTAACAAAGGCTTAACAAAAATTATTCAAGACATTAACATCATAGGTCCCAATGTTTTTGTTCCTTGTATTTGGTCGGGCCATGGACAAACTAGCGACTCATACTGGCTCTATGTTGGTCGACAAGACACTAGGCTCATGCAAATTGAAGTATCCATCAAGCGCTTACGCGGAAAGGGATCGAGAATTTGGGCCGTTTCATATCACACACATGATACATGCCTCTGTGCTCAAGCCGAAGACACATGCTTTGATGCTTTGGATTTTGCAATTGTGGCGCCAGGCATTCAATGTGGATACTTCTTTGGACCAGGATCACCGTTGAACTGGGACAAGGACCTTAAAGTTGAAGATGTTCTTCATTTCAAACAAATTGTTGCTTTATGAGATGTTTTACTAGCCAGAGGCCAGGATTGTGGGTTTTACTGTAATTGTTTCGTTTTTTTTCTTGTTTTTTTCGTGTTCCGTTTTCGTGTTTTGTTCTTGTTTTTTTTCCTGTTGTTTATCCTCTTCTTTTGCACTGTTTGTGGATGGTGTTTTTTGTGTTGCTTCTTGGTTTTTTCTGTTTACCATGCCTTGTTTGATGTTTTGCTATATTTCTCCAATCCAGGCTTTCCAATTGCGACTGAACATGTCTGCAAAGCATTCTTGCAAGCTCTTCTTTTTTGGACTCCTCACCTTGCAAAGCGCTGCAGGTGCAACAATGTTGCTCGAAGCAGATGAGTCAACACAGCTCATTTGATTTATATCAGACCGTCCTTACTGGATTTGTTTGATGGATCTTGACGCTACATGCCCATGGTGTCCTTTCCCATTTCGATCTATTTCGATCCATTTCAATCATTTCGTGTTTGTTTGCGGTAAGAGGTGCTTCAAAATCTTCAAATTGACCAACTGGTGGCCAACATCAACGGCCAACATCAACGGCCAACATCAACGGCCTCCACCAGGACCTGGTGGCTGCAACTCGAGGTCTCACTGCAGCTCTGCCGCCTGTGTTTGTGGCCAAGCTGGCAGCTCGTGCAGCGGCACATTTGCATGCAGCATTTTGGAAGGACACCAATCTAAAAGGCTGGGGCGGCTGGGGCGGCTGGGGCTGTTGAATATCGTGATGTCAGTAGAATGTCCCCTCGAGGTGGAGATTCTGACTTTGGTCGGAGTGCAGCTGTCAGTAGTCTAGTTGTGGAGGAGTTCATAGTGTGTCATCACTCATTGTTGCCCTACATGAACACGCTTCCCAAGTCTCTCATCACCCCTCACATGTTTTGGATTTTTTTGGAATAGTCCATGTATCATCATGTATTAATGTATCCATTTGTCGTTTTTGTCCTGTGTTTGAATGTCCCCTACCAGCCATTACAACCTCCCCCAAGGTGATTGGATTCGTGGCATCAGTTGGATCCCGGGCAGATCAGCGTCCAGCGGATATGTAGCATCCACAGCATCCACAGGCACAGACAGTCGCGGTGAAGACCTGTGGGAGGCTGGATGAGTGTGGATAAATGGCATCACATTTAAGATCATTTAAGTAATTTTAAGTATACTGTATCTTTGACATCATTTGATCATATTTTTTCAAGTTAGGCCTTGTTTGATTTGCATGAATCACACCTTATGTTGTTGCTTTGAATGACACGTTTTCCCTTGGATCCATCTTCAAGAAGTAGTGCCCGTAGTGCCTGTAGTGCCAGTGTATTTTCGATGCAGAACCTTGGAGGTCTATCAAAGGCAGTGCAGGGAAGACTGGGAATCCTTGGATTTCTCCACTATTTCCTGGGATCCTTGGACGCTTCGTACTTGTAGCATCTCGTAGCATCTCGTAGCATCTCGTAGCATCTCGTAGCATGTGCATTTCTGGAAGGATCCTGACTCCATTCAGATCGTTGACAGCATGTGTATGTACAGTATCTCATTCCAGGCGTGTTGCATTCTGCATTTGTGCAACCGGCTTTCACATCCTGAAAGGTCCTGAAAAGCAATATGACATGAATCAATACTATTAGCATGCCAACATGCATGTTTAAAGCCTCCAGGCGTAAGTCAGGTTTCAAGTTGGGGGATAGAAATTCGTGGACCAGATGAAATCATATGCAAGGATTGAGGAAAAAACAAAAACTTAGTCTAGCACAAAATTGTACAACAATTTCCGCAAATCTATACATATAATTATATATATAATTATATATATAGAGTGAATTAATATGAAGTATAATGATATCTAATGTCTGTAAATGGCATCCTCGATATCTCCTGGACGCGGTCCTCAAGATCCCCAAGGATCCGCAGCTGCGTGCCTGCATCGATGCGTCAATCCAGCGAGCCAAGCCCGACTCGGGTGACTCAGCCAAGGCGTTGACTAGGTTTACTGGGCTTCCACTAGGCATACACATGCTACTTTGATGGAGGAATATGGAGAGACCCTGAAACCAAAGTCCATCCCAACTCTGCATGTTGTCCATGGCGCTTGGTTTCAGGAAGGGATTCTTTGAGGCAGACTGATTGTCTAACATTGATTAATGTTTGCATCTGATTAGTGTGAGGGGGCCCCCCCCCCCAAACAATTTGAGGATACTCTATAACTCGCACTTTTTTTTGCCCCCCCTCAACATTTTTTTGGTCAATCAAATTAAGAAAGGATTTCAATTTACTTTCAATTGATTTCAATTTACTTTTAATTAATTAATTTACTTTCAATTGATTTCAATTTACTTTTAATTTACTTTCAATTGATTTCAATTTACTTTCAATTTACTTTCAAGTTACTTTTAATTTACTTTCAATTGATTTCAATTTACTTTCAATTGATTTCAATTTACTTTTAATTTACTTTTAATTTACTTTCAATTTACTTTCAATTGATTTCAATTTACTTTAAATTTACGTCAATGTACTTCATTGATTAAAATTTACTTTTAATTTACTTTCAATGATTTCAATTATGGAATTGATTTCAATTACTTTTAATTACTTTCAATTGATTTCAATTTACTTTTCCCAATTGATTCAATTACTTTTAATTTACTTTCAGATTGATTCAATTACTTCAATGATGTCAATTTACCTTTTACCTTTAACTTTCAAATTTACTTTCAATGATTCCAAATTACTTTTAATTACTTTTCTTTTTTTTCACTCCCAAAAGTGGGTGCTCACAATAGAGTACCATCCAGACAATTATATTATTGAGTAACTGGGCCACTCATGAGGTACCCCCTTGAAAAATTGTCTGGATGCTGTGTTTTAATAAGGGTTTAATAAGGCATCTAATTATTTGGGAAACCTTGCATTTTAAAGCTTTAACACAAATATAGCTTTCTAAAGTAAAGGCACCAGCTTTACCCAAAGAAAGGTGGAGAAAGGGTTTTGTTTTTTTTTCCACTCCCAAAAGTTGGTGCTCACAATAGAGTACCATCCAAACAATTATATTATTGAGTAACTGAGCCAATCATGAGGTATCCCCTTGAAAAATTGTTTGGGTGCTGTTTTTTAATAAGGGTTTAATAAGGCATCTAATTATTTGGAAAACCTTACATTTTAAAGCTTTAACACAAATATGGCTTTCTAAAGTAAAGGCACCAGATTTACTCAAAGAAAGGTGGAGAAAGGGTTTTGTTTTTTTTATCACTCCCAAAAGTTGGTGCTCACAATAGAGTACCATCCAAACAATTACATTATTGAGTAACTGAGCCAATCATGAGGTATCCCCTTGGAAAAATTGTCTGGGTGCTGTTTTTTTAATAAGGATTTAATAAGGCATCTAATTATTTGGAAAACCTTGCATTTTAGTTTTAACACAAATATGGCTTTCTAAAGTAAAGGCATCAGCTTTACCCAAAGAAAGGTGAAGAAAATGTTTTTTTTTTTCACTCCCAAAAGTTGGTGCTCACAATAGAGTACCATCCAAACAATTATATTATTGAGTAACTGAACCAATTATGTTTTTTTCAGGTATCTAATTATTTGGAAAACCTTGCTTTTTAAAGTTTTACACAAATATGGCTTTCTAAAGTAAAAGGATCAGCTTTACCCAAAGAAAGGTGGAGAAAGGGTTTTGTTTTTTTTTTCACCCCCACAAGTTGGTGCTCACAATAGAGTACCATCCAAACAATTATATTATTGAGTAACTGAGCCAATCATGAGGTATCCCCTTGAAAAATTGTCTGGGTGCTGTTTTTTTAATAAGGGTTTAATAAGGCATCTAATTATTTGGAAAACCTTGCATTTTAAAGCTTTAACACAAACATTGCTTTCTAAAGTAAAGGAACCAACTTTAGCCAAAGAAAGGTGGAGAAAGGGTTTTGTTTTTTTTCACTCCCACAAGTTGGTGCTCACAATAGAGTACCATCCAAACAATTATATTATTGAGTAACTGAGCCAATTATGGTTTTTTCAGGTATCTAATTATTTGGAAAGCCTTGCATTTTAAAGTTTTAACACAAATATGGCTTTCTAAAGTGAAAGGATCAGCTTTACCCAAAGAAAGATGGAGAAAGGGTTTTGCTTTTTTTTCACTCCCAAAAGTTGGTGCTCACAATAGAGTACCATCCAAACAATTATATTATTGAGTAACTGAGCCAATTATGGTTTTTTCAGGTATCTAACTATTTGGAAAACCTTGCATTTTAAAGTTTTAACACAAATATGGCTTTCTAAAGTAAAGGCATCAGCTTTACCCAAAGAAAGGTGGAGAAAGGGTTTTGTTTTTTTTTTCACTCCCACAAGTTGGTGCTCACAATAGAGTACCATCCAAACAATTATATTATTGAGTAACTGAGTCAATTATGGTTTTTTTTCAGGTATCTAACTATTTGGAAAACCTTGCATTTTAAAGCTTTAACACAACTATGGCTTTCTAAAGTGAAAGGGCCAGCTTTACCCAAAGAAAGGTGGAGAAAGGGTTTTGCTTTTTTTTTCACCACCAAAAGTTGGTGCTCACAATAGAGTACCATCCAAACAATTATATTATTGAGTAACTGAGCCAATTATGGTTTTTTCAGGTATCTAATTATTTGGAAATCCTTGCATTCTAAAGTTTTAACACAAATATAGCTTTCTAAAGTAAAGGCACCAGCTTTACCCAAAGAAAGGTGGAGAAAGGGGTTTGCTGTTTTTTTTCACCCCCAAAAGTTGGTGCTCACAATAGAGTACCATCCAAACAATTATATTATTGAGTAACTGAGCCAATTATGGTTTTTTCAGGTATCTAATTATTTGGAAAACCTTGCATTTTAAAGTTTTAACACAAATATGGCTTTCTAAAGTAAAAGGACCCGCTTTACCCAAAGAAAGGTGGAGAAATGTTTTTTTTCACTCCCACAAGTTGGTGCTCACAATAGAGTACCATCCAAACAATTATATTATTGAGTAACTGAGCCAATCATGAGGTATCCCCTTGAAAAATTGTCTGGGTGCTGTTTTTTAATAAGGGTTTAATAAGGCATCTAATTATTTGGAAAACCTTGCATTTTAAAGCTTTAACACACAAATATGGCTTTCTAAAGTAAAGGCATCAGCTTTACCCAAAGAAAGGTGGAGAAAGGGTTTTGTTTTTTTTTCACTCCCACAAGTTGGTGCTCACAATAGAGTACCATCCAAACAATTATATTATTGAGTAACTGAGTCAGTCATGAGGTATCCCCTTGAAAAATTGTCTGGGTGCTGTTTTTTAATAAGGGTTTAATAGAGCATCTAATTATTTGGAAAACCTTGCATTTTAAAGCTTTATCACAAATATTATAAAGTAAAAGGACCAGCTTTACCCAAAGAAAGGTGGAGAAATGGTTTTGTTGTTTTTTTTTCACTCCCAAAAGTTGGTGCCCACAATAGAGTACCATCCAAACAATTATATTATTGAGTAACTGAGCCACTCATAAGGTACCCCCTTGAAAAATTGTTGAGTGCTGTTTTTTAATAAGGGTTTAATAAGGCATCTAATTATTTGGAAAACCTTGCATTTTAAAGCTTTAACACAACTATGGCTTTCTAAAGTGAAAGGGCCAGCTTTACCCAAAGAAAGGTGGAGAAAGGGTTTTGTTTTTTTTTTCAATCCCAAAAGTTGGTGCTCACAATAGAGTACCATCCAAACAATTATATTATTGAGTAACTGAGCCACTCATGAGCTACCCCTTCGAAAAATTGTCTGGATGCTGTTTTTTAATAAGGGTTTAATAAGGCATCTAATTATTTGGAAAACCTTGCATTTTAAAGCTTTAACACAAATATAGCTGTCTAAAGTAAAGGCATCAGCTTTACCCAAAGAAAGGTGGAGAAAGGGTTTTGCTTTTTTTTTCAATCCCAAAAGTTGGTGCTCACACTAGAGTACCATCCAGACAATTATATTATTGAGTAACTGAGCCAATCATGAGGTATCCCCTTGAAAAATTGTCTGGGTGCTGTTTTTTAATAAGGGTTTAATAAGGCATCTAATTATTTGGAAAACCTTGCATTTTAAAGCTTTAATACAATTATGGCTTTCTGAAGTAAAGGCACCAGCTTTACCCAAAGAAAGGTGGAGAAAGGGTTTTGTTTTTTTCAACTCCCAAAAGTTGGTGCTCACAATAGAGTACCATCCAAACATTCATATTATTGAGTAACTGAGCCACTCATGAGGTACCCCCTTGAAAAATTGTCTGAGTGCTGTTTTTTAATAAGGGTTTAATAAGGCATCTAATTACTTGGAAAACCTTGCATTTTAAAGCTTTAACATAAATATGGCTTTCTAAAGTAAAAGGACCAGCTTTACCCAAAGAAAGGTGGAGAAATGGTTTTGTTTTTTTTTCAATCCCAAAAGTTGGTGCTCACAATAGAGTACCACCCAAACAATTATATTATTGAGTAACTGAGCCACTCATGAGGTACCCCCTTGAAAAATTGTCTGAGTGCTGTTTTTTAATAAGGGTTTAATAAGGCATCTAATTATTTGGAAAAAATCTAAAATTGAAAAAATAAAAATTTTAAAAAAAAAATAAATAAAAAAACAAAATAAAAAATAATAAAAAAATGAAATAATCTGGAAAAAATCTAAAATTGAAAAAATAAAAATTTAAAAAAAATAAAAACTAATTGAAAAAAAAAATGAAAAAATCTGAAAAAAATCTCACAATAGAGTTCCCCCCCAACAATTTGCATGTGACTGAATTAGGAGCAAGAAAGTTCTCACAATAGGGTACCAGGACACTAATCGGGTGCAAACATTAATATTGTATGCTAAGTATGCTATATTGATCTATATTGTGTGTATAATATACTATAATATAATACTGTATATATATATATATATGGAGCTTTTCAGTCTGGAACAGCATGGTGTCTATCCCAGCATTGGAAAAGGATGAGTGAATAACCATCAATTCCACACTGTACATGGAACATCAACCGATTGGTTCGGACTAGTCTCCCAGCTTCTCGAAGAGGGAAACATAGGGAAACTATGTGGTCGACAAAGCATTCCTAAGAGAAGCAGGGTTCATTTATTGTCCCAAACCACATTCAATTTTTGTTATCCTTAAATCTCATGGGATGACATCAACATACATCAACATTCAAGTGATTTAAGGTGGCTTCGAAGTCTTTCGACGATGGATGTCGAAGGATGCTCCTTGGAGTTTGGTTCATGGTGACTTTCACCCTGCCAATTGCATGCTCGTTGAGACCGACAAGGCCGACAAGGTGGATCAGGCGCGGTGCAGGGAATTCCTCCATGGTATCGCTATCTATCACTGCCTTAACCACGAGGTGCATCATAGTGAGTACCTACTGTACTATCTCGTATTTTAGTTTTTATACATTATGATTATATATATATATACACATATACCATATACCATATACATTATACATTATACATTATACGTTATACCTTATACATTATACATTATACATTATATATTATATACATATATATATATACATATACATATATATATATGCTCTATCATCTGAGATAAGAAGGCACAGTCCTGTACCGCGTTTGAAGCCGAGCGCAGTTGAAACCCTGAGGATGCAGACCTCGACGCTCTGGGACGCTCCGAGCGTTTTCAATTGCTGCTGCTTGACTGGGAGAATGTTGGTATTGGCTCAGGACCGCAGGAAATCGGCCAATTCCTGATCTCTCACATGGACCCAACACTGCGGACGAAAGTGGAGAAGGAAGTGGTCGAAGTTTACTACAAATGCTTGGTATCAGCAAATCCACGCATCGCCGAAGATATGACTTTTGAGCAGTGCTGGAGAGAGTACATCATCGGAGGTCAGGGATGTTTGCTTCGTCTATTGGCCATCCGTATTGTTTAAAATGCTAGAACATGCCAGACATATCAAGGCACCACGGACTTCAAGGCTGCTTGATGTGTACTGTATCTTACCAGATCGTCCAACATTTGCAAAATTATGACCAGAGTGGGAACAGTAAATTGAAATCGCAAGTCAAAAGACGAAGACAGTTCTCTTCCAAGTTTTGGAATGGCCCCAAAATTTGGACAATCCCCATAGATTCCAAGAGATGCCCATAGATCAAGATCCATGAGGTGCCGGCAAGTGGGTGTGGTTCATGCCACTCTTGGCCAAAAGCTGCCCTCCAAAGATGACACAGTACTTCCATGACCAGTTGCAGTCCTTCCTGAAGACCCATGGCCTGACTCCAGAGACCATGCCAATGCCACGTACGTGAAGCACAGTTGAAGCACACGGACGGTTTTTTTTGGGATGCTTGGTGATCTTGGTGGGCTGCACTGCACTGTGGATTTCTATGGATTTCTGGCCCCTGAAGATGACATTTGGGGACTGGGAGGACGACCAGCCGGGGACTGGGAGGACGACCAGCCGTTTGTAGTCGTGTTTGTGGCTCGATGGCTGGCCTAGCCGGCCTAGCCGGCTTAGCTGCCAAGATCTCAATCGGCCAAAAATGCGGTACGGGTTGGTGTGAGCAGGTAGGGTGACAGAACATGGTGGCGTTCCAGATATCAAAGAGCAACCACGTTTTTCCAAAACCACAACTTGAAGCCTCCTGATGCCATTCTAATTCCGTATGTATGTACGCATGTGTATGTATATATATATATGTGTATATATGTGAGAAGCATGAGAAGCCTATGTAAAAATCTGCCTGTGTGCAGATTGCAGACCTTCTCCTCTTTGGAACTTGGGAGGCAGCACCTTCTCGTCGATCTGCAGCGGTTTCTCGAGCTGCAGGCCCTGACTTAGGATGACTTAGGTAGCGGCTGCGCGCGGTTTGATTTCATGAAACACCGGGAGATCATGTGTGGTATGTGTTGATAGCGTACTGAGTAGTATGCTAAGCAGCACCTTGAAAGAATATCAAGAATGAGGTGTTCGCAGTTTTCCCTGCACATGCTGCAGGTTCATTGATGAGGACATACTTCACGCAGTGATTTTCGTCCAGTAATTGCTACGCTCACACTATATCACTAGTGAGGTTGTACTTTTAGCAGATGTAAGACCCTGGAAGATTGGATAGGTAAAAATGATGTTTGAGAAACCGCCCCAACTCCAGTTGTACATGAAAGATTGACACTGATTGATTCATTGGACATTATTCTCCAACCTCGAGTAGTTACTGTACATGAGATTTGTGAAATCCATGCAATTATTCATTCATGCGTATACTTTGCTGGTGTTGAACCCATGTAGATACACCTTGTGAATCTTAGGGACGCCCGACTTCACAGATCTCCAAGAGCGGCTGGCAAAGTTTCAGCAGCTCGGCCAATTGAGAGTCAAATGTCCAAGTTGATGCCTAACAAGCAGTTGTTCTGATCTCAGGTTCCCACTAAGAATGTGTTTCGTGTAAGTATAGTATACTTCTGGTCATTCTGGTGTATTCATTCGCTTGAACTGTATTGCTCCAGGCTCTAACCTCCTGTACCTGGGGAAGAAACAAAGCCCAGCAAAGCCTCATGAACTTATGAACCATGGCCCAGCGATGTTGACTGTTTGCATCGGCATCTACAAGACCTGGAGCCTTCATTGACTGATGGGTAGAGGAGCTAGCCAAAGCATTGTACAAGATGTGCATTTCGACCTGCTTATTTAGGTTCATTTGTATTCTTCTTCTTCTTCCTCTTCTTCTTCCTCTTCTTCTTCCTTTTCTTCTTCCTTTTCTTCTTCCTTTTCTTCTTCCTTTTCTTCTTCTTCTTCTCCTTTTTCTTCTTCTTGTTTCTGTGGTTCCGTATTGACTTCTGAATTGATCTTTGTTGCCAGACTAGACCCTAAGTATATGGCAGGAACTTCTGTTCATACAAGTCTACATAAATCCTGAAGCAGAACCAATTTAAGAACCAGTTGAGTTTGGTGTTGCAGTCTATCCACTCTGAAATGACTACAGTGGCCAAAGTTCCAGTACAGGATTTTGCCTTTTCTCCTGCCACCATTCATGTTGAGGCTGCTTGAAACAAGCGAGACTTGGGAATGGGATGCTCCTCCACCAGAGACACAGGCAGGGGTCAGGATCTCCATCTCCAGCCATAGAGTGATCCATTGGCATCATAAATTGGAGGCCACAACATGCCACCAGCTTGGGCTCTAGACACTCCCAGGTCTGGGAAACGGCTGATTTCATATGGGTTGATTTTTGACTCCCCGAGCTGAGTTGGAAAAAGTGCTTGCCAATGGCAGGCCCTGGCAGCCGCCTTAACCACTGGAAATCTGGAAGAGAAAGAAGCTCTGGCGCCGCTTGGCCCAGTCTATTCTTTCGTTTCAACGTTTGTTGGAGCTGAACCCCAACAACATGACCGGGTGAAGCTTTGTGGGTAATGTCGCGATGTGCAAACGTGTCTCGATTACGCATGATCTTGAGATTTGAAGCAAAAAAGCGGAATCCAACACCAAGTCTCAGAACCATGTTTCGAATAATTTGGCCATGACCTCAACCCGCCCAACCCATTTGCACGACGTTTATTCGAACTGAGGGCATTCTACTTTCTCATTTTATGGCCGCCAGGGACCATGGCTTTCCTGAGCTGGTTTGACACGGTTCACCCGTGTGGAATAGTCCGCAGAAATGTGGATGTGTATAGCTGAAATTCACTCAGGCTGCTGAAGCGGCGGGCTGACATTTCAATATGTGCGGGCGACCTGCAGCGCACTGCCCTGCATGTTGCTGCAGAGAAGTATGGAGCCCAAGTGCATCTGATTTTCTCAAGAGGATTGTACCCGCATGTCACGAACATCATGAATATGGAGCAGGAATAATACTAAAAGCCCTGCATCAGTTGGTGTTGAAATATTCTTACCACTTGTAGGGTTGCACGAGCCTCGGATGTTTCATGCGTGGAGCTGGACTCTCGCCACATTATACGCTTGTCACATTGCATCCTGGAAAGATCTATAAACTACGCAACGTTGTGTGGTGTTCTACAAGGCAACATTATGCTATTGTTACGGTAGTACCAGGATTCCGTAATGTAATGCTATTACAATCAAGCGTATTGCAGCCTTGTGTTGTGGTGCAATTCCACACTATGCAAAGCAAGGCCATGTATCTAATTATATGTTTGTTTTGTTTGGGGTGTGCGTGGAGAATCGTGTGTATGCATATGTAACGTATCACAAAATATAATATATATATATATAATATGTAAGATGTAATATGTAATATGTAATTATTGATTATACAAATAGTATATAATAAAATATAATGTACACACATATTATAATATATATATATATATATACATGCAAAAAATGTATGTATAAAACACATCCTGGAGGTTAATTACACTCCTGGTCAGCGCAGATAAAGAGTCGTGTGTGGTGTGTTGTTTCTTAGGCAATCAATGTCCATAGGTGCTATGTGAAGCTCATCGAGGAGCTGCTGAAGCATCGTGCTGATCCCAACCGTGCTGATCGCGCAGGAGTTCATGGGGAAACCATTGGCCACTGCTGGTGGAGGGCGGACCTTTGGGGAAGTCTGAAAGTCATCATGATCTAAAAAAACATGATAAAACAGCTTGAAATACATGCCTTTTGTAGATGAGTTATGCATCTTATTTATCGAGATTGCCAAGCTTGCCTGACCAGGGTCAATCCAGCATTCACAAAATCCTGACTCCATATGGTGGACTTGCAGTGGCCCTTCCCCATGTCGTGCATGCTGCGGTGTTTGGGTCAGTGGTGCACCCATTGGGGAGTTTTATCACGATGAAACAGTTGTTGGGCTTATCAGTTCAAGAACTATTAAGAAATTGCAATGTGTCCCACCCAACTGATTTAGCTGCAAGGCTCTCAGACGTGGTTGCCCCAGGCCTATTGGTGGGGGAGCCAGTTAGAACCATCCATCCATTCATCCATCCATGTACCCCCTTTTAACTTCTTGAGACTTCCTTGTGGCCAGACTCCCACTTTCAGCATGTATCAGCAAGTGTTATGAGGTTTACTATGGTTTACTGGCGGTTCCATGTCAAATTACCAGCTTGAACCGACGGGTGCCGCAGGAGAAACTGCGCTCTTTGCTGTCGCACACTCCGTCAGCTGGTCCAGCGCTGCTCCACGTCACCGACGCGCTACGGTGCAGCGCTTGGTGGAAGGTGCGCAGCTGATTCCAAGTGAAGCAGCTGGATACAGCTGGATTGTAAGGGACAGATAGATTGAGAATGGTTGAGATAATATCAACCCAAAATTCATGGGGTGGTACTTGTACCAGGTATGATTGAAATAATCGCGATTTTCGAGGACCCCAATGAGTCAACTGAGTTGTCTTCAATCCTGCGTGAACGGTGCTCATAGGTCCCACAGTAGAGAACTCTCAGGTTCCACATTCTCCATATATGTATTTTAATCATGGTCCTTGGTCCGTTCAAGCTATGTCATGTTCTGTTTTTCCCCCACGATTGCGTGCCTCCAAAATAAGTGTTATTGTAGTGTGGGTGGGTTTCAGGACGCCGGTGTGGCCTCAGTTTTGTTCATTCGTTCTAATATTGCAAGTATATGCAACTATGTTTGGTGAGCCAGAGTCCCTAAGTTTAAGAAATACGCAAGCTAGCTTCTTCGAAGCACAAACTGCGGAACCCTTAGTCATCATGAACAATCTGACAATGTGCATATCCATTTGCGCAGCTTTGGCGGCAGGTGAAGCTGACATCAATTTCTCAAATCCTCGTGGGAGGATGCCATTGCATGTAGAATCCCCGGCATGGGCTTGTCAACCACCAGTTCCGGGTGCTGGGAGACACTGTAGCCATTCAGTTATTCAAGGCTTTTGGATGCTATAGCATGCTATAGCTCAACCATGCTCAACTTGCTCAACCACTTCGGCGTTTATCTCAGATCTGAGGGTGAGTATGAAGGGGCCTGAGATTGTCGACACCTACCGGGCTAATAGCGGGCTCCCAAACTCATCGGATCAAGGTCTTCTTATAGGCCAACTTCATCCAATAATTTTGGGCCCTGCATCAAAGATGTGGTGAAGAGAGTAGCAAAAGCCGCTACCAGCACATCCAAACAACAACACATCATAAATCTGGTCCAAAGCCTCAACAAGATTCTCTCCAATGTGAGATGCAAATTTGGTAAATCTATTACCCAACTGGAAAGGATTTAATTGGACCGGAGCCGTTCTTCGCACAACTTTTTGCGATGTTTCTGTTTGCATGGCAGGCGGTTAGCTGCAAGGACGCCAGTGTCTTGTCAGCTTTGTTGGACGAGCTGGCGGATGTGAACGCCAAGGATCTGGGTGGATTCACTGCTCTCATGCACCTTGGATACCTTGGCATGCTATTGTAATGCGTTGGGGGGAGATGGAAACGCAGATGCGGTGAAGGTAGGTCAAGTTGGATGGCTTTGAATTTGCATTGAACTGAGCCTAGGAGATCCTCCAATCCATGGATGATTTGTCACTGTAAATTGTAGGTCTAGGAGTCTTACGCTCCAGGAATCCCCCATTTCACATTCCTTTCAATTCGGGTGAATTCCCATGTTTTTGGGAAACTCTGGAAACTCCCATGATTTGTCAACCAAGTCCAACATCCATGAGCCATTGAGGTGGGCAGCAGGTCGTGGCTCCGCAGAACAGGTCCAGCAACTCCTGGATGCCAAGGCCGAGAGTGACCTGGTGGCGAACCGATGCTGGGCCGATTGAAATGAATAACGGGGAGTGCCGGGACTTGGGGATGGGATGTGGGAGTTGGATGGGAGTTGGGACAGTTGGGATGCAGAGTTTGCTGGAGCGGCTGGGTTTTTGAGACTTTTTGAGTATCGGATCTAAAGATGATCTAAAATGATCCAAAATTAGTATATTGTCATGCCCAGAAGTCAGGTTGGGAGGTCACCATGGTCCAGAATCCAGAGCTGATCATGGTTGAGCTCCAACTGAGGAGGTCAAACTGCTTTGGTCTTTGCTCTTACAAACAATTGTGAAGAGGCCATCTAGGGAGGAGGAGGAAAGGGGAATTCTATGGAATTCTGCCTGATTCTTTTCGGCAGTGAGTGGCTTGGTATATGTCGGATCATGTCGGATCCCAAATGTACGACACGTACGCCTCTCCAGAAGGCGTTTCCGTGATGACCTGGGACTTGTATGACTTGTGCTTTTCGACTATTGAAAATCGATATGAAAATCAATGATTTTTACTTTGAAAATCAGGACATTGGTCTTTTCTCATTTTTCTCAGGATTCAAAATGCACAGGAGGAAGACAACATTCTTTGCACAACGTTGCTAGTCGGCCTTGGACCCACAGATGAAGCGAGAAAATTCTCTCCTATGAAAAGCCACATTGGTTGCAGACCACCATTGCCACATTGGTTGAATATGAGAGTGGGTTACTTAGCCGCTTTTATTCAACCACACTCTGCCCATCCATCCCTGCCCCGTTGTGCCAATGCAACAGGTGGTGGAAATATTGAAAAAGAGAGCTGCAGCAGCAGATCACCAGGTATGGAATGTGAATGCATGTGAATGCACTGAGATTGAAAGCAATATTTTTTCATGGGAGATTGAAAATGCTGCTGAAATTGTAGTGCCCAGAAGATGGTCATGGTCAAGAAGTGAATAGAATGCTGATGATGACCCTCTCATTTCTGCTGGCAACAAATTTCCAACGTTTGACCTGTAGGTAGAGAATGCGTTCAAAGCCTTGGCAAAAATATAATGACTCACATTTTCCCAAAAGGGCGCAAAAGGATTGGAAATCAAGACATTTTCCGAGCGGTCAACTTTACATTGACATGATGTAGCTGCAAATCCCAACCCTTCTTTTCGCAGGCCAAAGTGCCGCCACAGCATGAGCAAGCTGAGCAAGGGCCTCAATATGATCGGCGCGTGAACAAATGACCAATCCTTTGTGGTTTTGATATGCAAGTTACGCGTTGTTCATGGAATGAATTCTGCAATCACAAGAAGCTTCGCTTGTGACCCTTTTTTCCTCTCTTTTGTTTGGTGAAACAGCTTCTGAGTTGCACCTGCAGATCTCGAGACATCTCGAGACCATGTCTTGGATCGCTGTAGCCACAGGAGCAGGTCCGAGATGCACATGCCATTTCTGGGACAGGCCGGGCCAGTCTGCCCAAAGTTTCCGGGGATGCGGTTGGGTGGGGCTGCCCGCTCATCGTAACCAAGAAATGCGTGGAAAGCCTTTTGATACCTAAGTACTGCGTGGGTCGATCTTGAACTTGGAACCAACTCACCGGGTGCCAATAGGCAGCCCAGCCTTTTCAGGTTGGTTCACGCTTCGCACCGGACCTGAGCTCCAACTCCTATGGAGCCCATTCTGCATTTGTCAAAAAAGATGTTCAGGAATCCTGTTCAGTCCGTGCCACTTTATTTATATGTTTTATAATCAAAAAATATGATGACCCATGGTAGCCAAAAAAAATTGTGTGTTGAAATCGTCGAGACCATTTCCTATTGTATGTAAGAATTATTAGGATCAGAAACCGTCGCGACCGCTTCATACTAAACTACCCAAAAAAAATCGAAAAAACGGATATAATCTGAGACCGTCTGAAACCGTTTGAGACCGTTTGAGACCGTCTCTGAAAAAGACCCCGGCATGTTATAATATGAAACCGTCAAGATCATTTCAGATTATTCCAAATCGTATTATTATGATAGAATCGGAAATCGTCAAAAACATTTCTGCAAATATCATTTTAGGGACATTGATAATATATATATATTATTATGTTCATTGTATTTTATATTATTTTTGGGATATATATTATAATCATGAATTATAAATTATAAATATAAAATTGATTTTATATGTATCTCTAAATATATATTATATATAATATATTATAAAATAATTATTATTTCGTATTATACAGGCATCTGACAAAGTCGTACCTGTTTTAGGAAAAAATCGTTGTGCCTTGGGGAAGTGTGTTTCGCAAAAGTCGTGCCTTTAGCAAGAACGCATAGGAACTCTGGAGTTTGGATATGTAACCCGTTTTCTTATGAGATCGCGTAGCTGATCACTATTAGCATGCAGAATTCCAGGTTGTGGGTATGTTAATTAGTTATAGGTAAGATGGCGTTGAGCTGGTGATTTGATGATTTTGGATGTTCATCCCAGATGATCCTGTTTTTCCCGAATGCGTAGCGAAGGGTTTGTTCGCCTCGAGTGGCTCGTCGCGTCGTCGTCGGGTCGGCGTCGCGTCGTCGTCGCGTCGTTAATTCCGTGTCTATACTCCTTTTCGAAGGTTTCCAAGCAAGTTGTCATGTCGTTTTTCCGTGGCAGGCGTGGCACTTTGTCACATTCCAACCTGTTTGAAAACGTGTCGAAAGTGTCAAAATTGGAGGACGTCTCGCACGAAATGCTCGTTTTGCTGCGCCCACGTGTCTCGTCTCGAGTCTCCGGTTTTCCTGTG